GTTAGCACGTTTTGAAGGGGTCTCACTGCTGGCAGCACGCTGGCTGGCAGGGTACGGCGCTGCTGGCCCACGTGAGGCGACTGGCTGGGGCACGCTTCCTTTGCACTGGGACGTCAAGGAGCACGGAAAAGACTTTTTGGTATAATTTGTGTGTCTCTGGCCTTTTGTGCGTTCCTGGGTAAATAGTTCCTTCGAAAATTGTTGTGAGTGCATAGGAAACAATGTCGTCAATTGTAATACGTGATGCAGGCTGCTGCTAACATTAACGTACAGTTTGTACTGTTTTATTTTACAGAAATTGCCCCAAACTATGAATTTTATAAAAATGCAGATGTCAGACCTCCATTTACTTATGCAACTCTCATAAGGCAGGTAAGTAGAGAGAAAATTAAGTTTGCCTGATTAAATTAAAATTCATTAATGCTTAAAGTAAGGCTTGGTTGAGAAAGTGTCATCCAGTCTAGTTAGTAAACCATTATTTTATGTCACTATGTATCTTGTCTCATTTCAGGCTATCATGGAATCGAGTGACAGGCAGTTAACACTTAATGAAATTTACAGCTGGTTTACACGGACATTTGCTTACTTCAGGCGTAATGCAGCAACTTGGAAGGTAACTTCTTTGCCAGCAGTTTAAAGATGCCTAGCGCAGTTCCTTAACAGATAGCACAAGGAACATTTATTTATGTGACATAAGCAGATTAGTATCTGCTTCCCCTCTTTTTAACCTGCCTCTTGAATGGAATGAATTCCCTCTCTCAAAATGACAAGTGAAAGAATAATTTTGCCTCTGATATAGTTTTCTAATTTGGTGCAATTAATAGCTGAGGCTTGGCAGAGAAATGAGGGCCTGACACACTAATTACAGTGTGAGCACTCAATCATCAACACCTTTGTTAGTCGCACTATATTACTTTTTCTCTTGCATATTATTGGCTAATTAGTTTGAAAAATGTCTGTTTGCCTTGTGCAACAAATGGAGGCTGTAGGTTTTGTCTTGGTCTGTGCCTTTTGTACACATCATACCTCATCATACAGACTGAAGCTGCCACAGGAGTGAGGGTCATGGCTACTCAGCTGGAACTAAAAGAAAGTAAAGTGAATATTATCCTGTCAGAACATAAATGCAGTTTATTTACTTAGACAAAAGGGTTCATCTATATCCCTGTCCAAACAACTTCATTGTCTGAATCCTACAAGGAGCTAAAAAAATGTTAGTTCTGTGCATCTATTTTTGGAAAAAGAGCAACGTCTGGAAAGATAAGGGCACTCAGCACAGACTAAGTGAACTGTTTTATTTTCATTTCAAAAAGCAGTCAGAAACATCAATTAGCCACAAGCCATTTGGTACAAAAGGGGGAAAATGTTTGTAGCTGAGAAGAATAGAGGCAGCAAAGCACTCATCAGCATACTAAGAATTTTAGACTGTGAGATATGCTAAAGTGAATTAATTTGGATTTAAAATGCAAATTAATCTGGCGAGCGATTACAGATATATGGGTGTGAAGCTCAAAATGCTTTTAATTTACAAAATGTTTAGATGTTATTAGTTGCTACAGTATGTGGTGCTGGACTGTAAATGAATGTAATTGTTTTATTTATGCATGGTTACTTGATATGTATTTTATAAGATGAAAATGTCAGAGGTAATCTGTAGAAAATATGTTTTAGAGCTTTTTCAATAAGTAATATTTATGTTGAAGATTTACGTTTTCTTTTGTTACTCATTAGAGAATGTAGTGAATGCTCCGTCATTTGATTTACTGAAAGAAATTTTAAAAGAAATGAAAGGTGATTTAATATCTTAGCTTGGTCTCATCTCCACAGCTCGGGGATCCAGCAAAACTCATTCTGAACAGCTTATTAGTTCTAACTATATCGCATGCATAATAAAACTGCTCATTTGCTCATTAATATTAAAATTATCATATTCAGAGCCATGGGCATTAAGATCAATCAAATCCTTGGATTTCAGGTCAGATGCTAGATCTGCTTATGCTTCCCCCCCCCCCCCCCTTTTTTTTTTTTTAAGAATTCTTTTCTTAAAGCAAGCCAGAAGCTTGTCTTTGTGCAAATAGAAAGAAATCTTCATCAAAATTACTTTGTTTTATATTCGTAAAATAAGAATTAGGTCATTACTGACTGTACTTGATAGCTATATGCCAGTTTACCTTGATGGGAAGAAATATTTGCTTAGATTTATAATTTGATTTATGGGAAATATTCAAAGTAAATTATGCTGTCTGCTGTATATTTGTTATAGTTTAAATTTTAAGAATGACTTAATTTGATTTAAAAATGTTCATTTTGAGTAATTACTCTAATACAAAGCAGCCAACAACATCTGTTTGCACAATTGTGGTTGAGAAAATGTACATTCATGTTATAGGGAAGACTTTTTATTCAGTTTCTGTCTAACAGTTAATAAAAAAAACAAAACCAAACTTTGGTGAGAAAAATCTTTTTTAAAAGCCTAAGTATGTCCTATTGTGCAGGGACAGTATTGCAAAGTAACTTGCATATGTCATCTAATAATACAGAATAAACAAACTCTGTCATTTCGTTATTATAGGGATGAAAAGAATGCCTTTGAGCTTATTTGCATAAAGCTTTGTGCAAAATTAACACTTGTCACTGTAGCCTTTTTAGCATTTTAATACCTCAAGCAGGACTGGTTCCTTTGGACATTTCAACCATCCCCAAGTGCTTGATCAGGGACACAACAGAGCTGACCTAATTGTTCTGGCATTTTCAAAGATACTGTAATTTGTACAGATATTGCAATTTAGACCAGTTCAATGAAAGGAAGGTTTTGACACAGCTATTATTAAAATAGCTTGGAAGGTTCTGTTATCACAAAGTTCAAACTGCAGATTCCAGTAATTTGTAAGTTTGGGGTTTACAATATTATACATATTTTGAATTTAATACTTAAACTAAATTGAGATTTTCACTATGATTTAGAATAAGAAGATTAACAAAGTATACTGCATAGGCTGCCTTCTTAAATTGTATTAATTTTACTACCTTTTCCCCCTTTTGTGTCTGATTTAGAATGCAGTGCGTCATAATCTTAGCCTGCACAAGTGTTTTGTTCGAGTAGAAAATGTTAAAGGAGCAGTATGGACAGTGGATGAAGTAGAGTACCAGAAGCGAAGGTCACAAAAGATAACAGGGTACGTTGGTGGTTGGTTTTGTTCAACTGAGTTGTTCTGTAATTCTGTAACCTAAGTGAGTCCTCTGTGTACTACAACCTGACAGACAAAGCGAGCACTTATGTGGAGAATACGTAGCAAGCTAATAGCTATGCTGGTGCATTCTCTTCAGTGAGCTAACATTTATTTCATTTTTGTGGTATACGCTATTTTCTGTACATTCCTTGCCTGCCTGCCTTTCCCATATAGTTTGCTGCAGAGGCAAGCGATAATGGTTTTGTTTTTTCAGTGTATTTCACCATATGTTTGTCATTTTAATTCCATCTACCATAAGTTCTTCTACTATATATTAAAAATAGCCCTGTGTACATATGTTGCCCATGTGTTAGAGTTTCATATGTGCTTGTTTTTACTGTAAACCTTTGACAGAAGTAGGGAGTCGTTCAAGGTCATTTTGGAATATAGGTATCATACACTACAGCACTGACCTCAAAAATATCTTCTTGATGAGGGTAGTATTCATGAGAAGCCTTCACAGGAGGACCTTTGGCATGCTTACTGCCCTACTTTCAAATTAATCCCATGTCAGTATGACTGGTTCTGTGGATGCTTTTTGTTCCTTTAGAGTATATAATTAGTTGATAAAACCATTCAGAATACCAAAGGTGCAGAGAGGAAAGCAGGAGGTTTTTCTTTGCAGGAAGTTGTTTTATTTCTGTAATGGATCTGTTTGTAAACAGCCACCCAGCTGTCCTCTGGAGTCATCCTAGTCACTGATTTTATTGAAAATGTAATTCTATGGCGATCTAGCATATAGTGTTTCTAGTTTGATTTAAATATGATATGTTTGATTTGCTGGAAACTAATTGATCCTCTGTGTTGTTCATTTAGAGCTATTTATACGTTGTTGTACCCTCATAGTTTCTTGGAAGGGAAGAGTAACATCTTTTTATTCAGCACCTTAGTGAAGCTGTATGTAATATATTCAAGTGTGTACCAGCGTTAGTTCAGAAAACCAAAAGCAAATGACACAGGAAGCGTAGCTGAGGCAGGTGATGTACAAAGTTTAAAGCTATCTCTCTCAAACTCCTTCAGTGAGATCAGAATCTTTACAAGTCACTACTGTCCTGCTCTCGGAGCAAATTTCCACGTGAGCCTAATTACAATGAGACTTTTGCTTTTCTTATGAGAGTAAATCACTCTGTTCTAACAAGTTGAGCCCTTTCACACCCAACTTCATTTCATTTTTCCTTTTCAAACTCTGGTCTTCTGAGCTGATAAACCAATCTATTAACCCAATGAGCCAGCCAGGATGTCTGCCTGTTTTTTAAACTTTGAAAAATCGTTTGTTTGCAGAAGCCCAACGTTAGTGAAAAACATACCCACCAGCTTAGGCTATGGAGCAGCTCTTAATGCAAGCTTGCAGGTAAAAAACCACTAAATTATTCTTTCTTTGCACACACTAATTATGTTCTTATGTGTGACATATTTAATTTCCTGTTATACTTTGGTATAGAGTTACCTATATTTATGTTTATGTGGACCTGATAGATGATAAAGCCAACTATTTAGAATGACCAAGTAAGTTGTATTACCTAGCACTGCAAGAAGTACTAGTTCTTATTCTTGCTACTTTTGATGTGAAGAAGCAAGAAGGACACCCTGTGGCAAAATCTGGAACACTCAGTTTTGCTGTAAATGTTAGATTGATAGAAGCTTTTGCAAATGCATGTGGATATGCATTAATATTTATCCAAGCTGTCATAAATGATTTCACATCATAGTGTTGGGGAACATGGTGCTCATGGCAAAAACTTTAAAGTTTAATTATAATATATAATTTTTATGCAGAAGAGGCAAATGTCAGGACTTTTTTATTTTGAGTTAAGTTCTGGTCATTTTTTAAAGTACAGCAGCTGCCTGCATTATAAAGGAGCCATACATTGTGTGGAAGGGCATAGGGGTTAAGTGTAATTGAAAGTCAAAAAATGATATAAAACTAGAAAGTGCTATGACTATCAGAACATAGTTAATAATGGAAAATAATGAAACCTATGTAAGAAAACTAGTAAACCAGAAATAGAGATGCTGTTATATTCAGAACATGAAAATAATTGGAAAATGCACAAAATCCCTCTGACGACCTTTACAACTACCCAAAATGAACTGCTTTGTGTGTGTACGTTCATATGTGTATGAACATTTAAAACCGATTTGTATATTTCTGAACTAATTATTTTATTTTTACTCTTTGTTTTACTAGGCTGCACTGGCAGAGAGTAGTTTACCCTTGCTTAGTAACCCAGGATTGATAAATAACGCATCCAGTGGCTTACTGCAGGCAGTCCATGAAGATCTCAATGGTTCGCTGGATCACATTGACAGTAATGGAAATAGCAGTCCAGGCTGCTCTCCCCAGCCTCACATGTAAGTGCAGTTAGCATCCTTTAAAGAAAAAGTGCCTTAGCCTAAGAGAATATTACTCAAAAGTACTTTGAAACATGGTAAGTGAAACATCTGGAACTATCTGTTTGAAACTAAACGTTTATATTGAAACATTGAAATAGATGAGTCTTCATTTACTTTGTAGTAAGACTGGTGTAAGCTTTTTTTTAATCATTATTTATTAAAAAAAAAAAGCAAAACACAAAAACCTCTTCAACTTGCTTGCCAGCACTGAATGTAATGTGAGGCTGATCTCTATGGTCATTTTCACAGCCTGGTTTGTAAGGTATAGTCAAAATGTTCATGTTGGAATTAGTTGTAATTTTAACTGTGAGTCTCTAAACCATTTATGAACTGTGGTGGAGATATTGCCCATTTATATAAACCGTAAAATGCAAAGTTTAACTGTTGCCCACAGTTTACATAGAAGCCAGTAAAGTGTAACTTTTTGCCTGTCTTATAAATCAGTGTAATTACATATTCAAGTTTAATTACTGGTGCGTCTGTATTGGCAAGGTTTATATGTTATATTTTATGCAAGACTACGATTCCTATTAATATTTAGCAGCTAACTATATCATTAATTACTCTAAAATCTTTCCCCTACCATCTTTTTAATGGAGCTGAGAGAGTGGAAGTATTAAAAATTGATGTATTGTGGATTTCAGAAATGTGTCTGAAGCTTTAGAAATGCCTGGCCTTAATCAGTGGTGTCAAACGTCGCAGTTTCTTGTTTACTAAATAGTAAAACATGTATCTTGGAGGTATTGTTTCCCAGGTTATTTATATAATAATTAGCAGTATGATATCCAAGTAGACTTAGATTTAAGTTTACTGCAGGATGATTTTTAATGCGTATGTACAATTACGGTCTCTCTTTTTCTGTGTTTAAAACAGCTGATCTGATTTGCCTTTTTTCATTCCTATTTCTCTTTCACATTTTTAGTGTTCCTTTTAATTTCTAGAGTGGGATATTTAGCAGTAACAGTAATTGAGACCTTTTTACTTACGCTCTGGTGTGTGGAGAATTCATTTTGATCTGACCTTTTTTAGGGGAAATATTTGCTGAATTTTTCTTCTTTTGTTTGGCACGCTAATATATCTATGATCACATAGAAATGTTTATTGGCATGCATTTAATTGTTTTATTGCACATTTATTCTACTTGCCTTTGAAAATAATACACTGTGAACATTCATGTATTTTATCAGGTTCCAAACCATTACTTTTTCAAAATGGAAAAATTTGTCTTTTGGAAGTGTCTTTAGATGTATTAAATAATACAAAAGAAGTAATAAAACTTGAAGTAGAAAGAACATGAATATATGCTCTTGAGAGTAACACTACTCTAAAACAAGTAAAGTGAGCAATCAGACAAAAGTTTTTATATCCCATGCTTTATGCTATCAACCATGCAGTGGGTAGCTTGAGGCCTTTTACTTTTAGCAGTTCTCCTGAGTATGCTAATGCTCTCTTCCTGTATAAAATGCCAAGACAATAAAACTTTAAAGAGCAAACAAGAGTTAGATCATGTGTGTTAAAAACAGCTACTTTACAGAAAAGAATGACACTTGCTATTAAAGTTGTTTTGGAAGTGTTTGGCAGATCTGTTTACATATCCTATGTACTGTCTGCCATTCTTCTGGATAAACTGAGATATCTGTGCATATGATTATGTAGATATGGCTACGTTTATAGCTGTGTTTATAGCTAAAATACAGCATGTCGTAGCAATTTTTGCCTGTAAAAAAAAAGCAAATAACTTGAGTTACACCCAACTCAAGATTCAGCCTTCCTCTCTCATTTCTATAACATGTCGTTTGTCAGAACTGACAGTTTTGGGACTTGCCGTTGTGACTCTTTTGAAACTTATGACTACGTGTTGCTCAGTTCTTGATAGATTGAAGCAACAGAATGTAAATGCACTGAGATACCACCGAAGAAAGAGGTTATGCTCATTCATCCCTCACAACAAATTTAGTGCAAGATTACTGGGCTTCTGTGAGACCATGAACTGTCAACCAAAAGATACAGGCTATGACTAGATACGTACTCACTTGTGAAATTTTTGCCTTTTCCTTGCCAAGGGAGCCAAGAATATGAAAAAGGGAATGAATGCAATCTGCAAGGAAAAGTCAAGGAAGAGAGAGACTTGTTCAGGAGGCACAGAACCAAGGAAAAGAGGCCTCTTCCTTGCCTATGTGACCACGTTGACTAGGTCCCCTGGTTTTTGTTAAAGAGCATGTATGAGAACATGTATGAGAGCATGTAAGAAATGGAGCAGATTATCTATCATTTCTTAGAGAAAATGAGAAAAGAACAGAGGGAAAGCATGACGGATGTAAAAGAAGTAAGGAATATGACAAACAATTGAAAGAAATTTTAGATTTTACATTATCTACACAGATTACATAATCCTAGGGTTTTTTTTAATAAAATATAGAAAATAAACTACAAAAAAAAATCAGTATTTTACTGCTACAAGCATCCACTTACTTGTAGCTTCCTGAGAAGGTTCACCTAGGAAGTTTGGGTGTTTCTCCCATAGAGAAGTGTTCTTGGGATGGTCATAATTCCTAAACTCACCTATAAAATATATGGCTCTATTAATCTTCAAGTAGATGAAACCTTCATCTCCTGATTCCCAGGAAAATGTACTAGCCACAACACCAGGAATACGCTGAGCAATTACGTTGTCTGCCATCTTGGAGCTGGCACGCAGCCAGGAGCAGTGGAGCATGGTCTTACGGAAAGAGGCAGGACGTTGCGTGCAATTTTATAGATCAGAGCATTCTTTTGGGAAGGGGCAGAGTTTGGATTCTAGACAAGCTTCCAGGGATAGACATTTGTTTGGTATTATTGCATCAGAAGGAAATGCAAAGAGTCCCCGTGACAGTGTCAAAGCCAAGCATCTCAGTTAGGCATTTTGTTGTTAAAATTGTACTGAACATTGTTCTTATTAATTTTTTAGCATAAATATATCTTTTTATAAAATAATGAAAATGTTGAGTGTGTGTGTACAGTAGTCAGTATTTCTGTGCCTTGAGCATGAGAACATTTTCAGATAAATTGATTTCTGTTATTGTAATACCTTAGATACTCAGGGCCAGAAAGTAGGGAAATTGTTCAGTCTTTGGATTTGAACCTGATACTTCACATCTGCTTTTCCAAACAGAGTAGTAAGAGCAGTTAGAGTCATCAACTTATCCATCTGTGGGCAGGTGTCTATCATAGGTGGGTGAATCAGCTCACTTAGAAGATAGTCTCTGTTCATTGACTAGAGAAAGACCGTAGGTTCATAACTTCAAGTAAAATTGTATAACATTTAAATGCTTGTTAAGTGCAGTGAACCTCAGCTACTGTATTTAGGGCAGTGGCACTTTAAAAGCTTTACAGTTTTTGCCTTGGGTAATGATAGATAATCTGCTCCATTTCTTACACTTCTTGAACGCTTAAAAATACTGCAGTAAGTTTTAGGTGATCAGTATAACCATGTCCTGGTAGCTGGGATATCTTCTCTATTAATAACCAAGTAAAGCATCTGAAATTTTGTGCTGCATGCGTCTCAGTTTCCATTCCCAGTCTGATGAAAGATGGCAATTCCATGATCCAGTAGGCAGCATATCACTAGCAGGATCTCAAATCCTGGGTTTACTTTCTGTTTTTCAGCAGTATTAAATCTATATTCTGTCTTTAGTTGGTCTTCAAATCCAATTCCTGGTAGATTGACATGGGCACCAAGTGGTCCCTTGACATAAATCTTCACTGGGAAAATATGTTACTTATTGCAGACATAAATATTCTGTTCAAAATTCCAATTTCCTCTAGTATCAGTTGTCAACAATCAATGTCAGACAATTATCTTTTCATTTAAATCAATACTTAAGACTCTTTCTTCCTTTGTTTTTGAACATGGACTTCTTCTCCAAAATTACTGCGTATTTTAGCTGATACGCAGCAGGTTTCAAAGTGGCAAACACAAAAAAAAAGGTATTTTATATACAAAGATTGGTTATTTATGTAGAACTAGGTGCTGCTAATCTTGCATAACAACTGTACATGGATTTAGTTAGAAGATCCACAGTACACACCTTTGGGGTATAAACGCAGACTTCTGAAGTAAAAAAAGAAACCACAAGCGTCTGAACAAGTGCAATTAAAGCTGCATGGTTGTGGGAGACTGGAAAAAACTTCTATCATCCCTGAAAAAACAACAATATTGGACAAGACATGGAATGATACTTAGGGACAATAACGACAGTTCATGCATTAGTGATAACACAACTTCTTTTTAACCTGCATGTCATAGCCAGTATACTTCTGAAGAGTTTCTGAGGGATTTGAAAGTCAGTTCCTTCAAAGCCAATAAATTTAGATTCTTAAATGAACATAAGGATCACAATGAAATCAACTTTGTGCTATTATTTTTCCTGTCTCTGTTATATTTTCAAGAGTTCTCACTCTTGGGGATGGAAATCAAGTTCAACTGTTATTCCTGTGTTTGTCTGTGCATTTGTACTAGATTGATCACACTTAAGTGATTATTGCAACTGACACGGACCAAGGTGTTTTAGCACCAGAACACTTAGTTCATCTCTTGTCCACGTTCGTATTTTGGAAAATGCATCATGCAAAATGTCATTTTACATGTATAAATTCGAGGGAAAAAGTAAAATTTTAATCTGCAAAGCTGTTCATAGCAGACGAGGAAACGAAAAGGAATTAGTCATCAGAAAACTTGGAAAACTGTAGACTGAGAAAATGCAGTCTCACCATAGGAAACAATGGGGTGGTTATGACATTCTGTTAAAACTCACTGCAGCTCATTAAATAAGGAGTGGGAGGAGTCAGCAAAGGAGATAGGGAAAGCAAATATCCTACCAGTGAGGTTTTGTGGAAGGAGGCTGTCGTCATGGTTTTCTCCCTGCTCGTGGTATATGAGAGTGTAGATTGAAGAGAATGCAACTGAGCTCTTACATTCT